TTTTGCAATAAATCTCTTTTCCTCGTTCTGTGCTACTGTCTGGCAATTCTGATCTAGCTTAAACTTTGAAAAATAATGTTTCAAAAGCTGCATTGTGGGAAGAAATACCGTTAGCCTGCTAGTCAGCCCTTTTAGCATGGGGTACGTAAATTAAAGAAATACAAACAGCAGTATATTGTTCAAAATCTCCAGATCACAAGAACCATCATCCCTTCACCTGCTTGCAAATCAAATTGTAACATGAACTAATTAAATGGCTAAACCTAGTGCCCAGATCAAGGAGCGAGTTTTCAACAGGGCATTCTCATTAACCTGCCTCTGATACTCACAATCGACTTTTCACGATGCAGCATTAATCCTGTGCGACTGGAAAACCCCTCACCGTTATTTATGGTACTGCATCTTGGTCTTAACCAGAAAATAATATCCTAATTGCAGGGAATTAGCTATGTCTTGATTCTTGGCCACAAATACTCTCATAATTTGTGGATTATGGATTACATCACTACCCATTTCCAAAGCCTAGGTTTAATTGGAGTTTCTGACAATCCATCTCCAGCTGTGCTCGCAAACCCTAATGATTTGTGTCTTCTGATGAAATATATAATGACTTCTGTGTGCCCTATGAAAACATTAGCATTAAACTCCGGGGCTACAGTTATTTGAACAGGCTTTTATCCTTTTCCAGTAACTACTCCAGATGCATCAGATTGATTTAAAGATCTGCTGTATCTTAGCAGTTAGCACATTGCTGCTCCTGGCAGCAGACACTGGCGTGAAGTTAAACTCTAGCGTGCACGGTCTAGATCAGTGGTCCTCAACCTTAGACGCAAGGCACTCCTCAACAGATTCGAGGCGCCCCTTGGAAAGTGCCAGCTCTTAGCTTTCACTCTTTTTGATGGGAGAAAAATACTAGAGCAAGTCTTCTGTTGCAAAGAACTCAGAAAGCCACAACAGGTCAGAATGGTTTTACCACTATGGTTCCCTATATGAAAACTTTGGGCTTATCTTGTGAATCATGCTTGCGCAGTGAACAGTAATAACATTGTGCAGCACCCTTGAAAGCATCTTAAGGCACCCCAGGGTGCCATGTCATCCTGGTTGAGGTTCACTGGTCTAGAAAATTCCCGCTAGCCTCCACGGGCTCACTCACCAGCATCCATGTACGACAGTCTTAGGGTCAAACAGAGCCCAAGGCTCATGCACCTTGCACCTTTCTTATAGCTCCTGCAGCAGGTGCATGAACCCATGCCTTAAAAATCACACCAATTTAACAAAATCAATTTAGAAAATGATTTAGTTAAATTTGTGCAATCCCTTTCAGTGGGCACTCTTAAAATTGCTTTAAGAGCAGCTAAAATAGATTTAGTGTAATTCAGTTACTGTAACATCACAGTAACATGCCTGGGGGCTTCCATACAGTCAAAAAGTAATGAAGATTCCCATTTTATGAAAACATCCCTTGCAGAAGTTACCTTTCTCCTCCATCAAAAATTTGGGTTACCCTTTTCTATGCAAACATTTCTTAATATTTGTATGGTTCCAAATAAAAATCTCTCCTAATTTCAGGGTTCAAATTCTGGTATGTGAATTAATACTCATTGTTCTGGGATGGTAAATCCGCCACCACTTATTCAAAGCACTGCATCAGCATACCCCTGTAAGAATGCAACCACTCTCTGGACACTGAATATATCCTGCAGTTCCAGACTCCAGGCTTATTCCAAATGCTGAGACAGCAGCAAATCACGACTGGAAAAAACATTCCCTTCTGATGGGACATGATGCAAGGGCCTCTTCTGCTGATTTCTAGCGGTGCTGCTAATCCACGTTAACATTAGCTGTAGGCATGCTATTTCTTTTCCTTACCACGGCCAAACTTAAATAGGCATCTCAGCAAAAGAACCGATGTGCCAATATATAGGTCTAGGATTGAATGGGTTAGATTCCTGCTTAGTGGAAATTCACAAAGGCTTTACTTTGCCATCACAAGAGCCAGAGTTTAATTATTTTATTTCCTGTGATGCTCATATTCATTCCAGCCAAGTAGGAATTACTCCTTTCCAGTAGCCCTGTTATCATAGCTCACACAGCCAGTCCCAATCTGCTATTATACCACTTATTTGGAGAGGCTAAAGCTAATGGGAAAAAAATTAATATTTTATACTCTAAGCCCAACTACTAAAAATCCGTGAGAAAGCACCATGTTATATTTGAGAGTGAATCGCTTTCAATATTTAGCAAGTCGGGGGAATGTAGGAAGCTTTAAGATGGAAGGAAGCCAGAAGCCCGAAGAGCTGCATTCCTCGGCACATTCTTGCCTGTTCTTCACTTGGAAGACAATCGTAACGCCAGTCAACATCTTCCTTCAGCAACTGCAGCCTTGGGAAGTGTCAGCCTGTCAGGTAGCAAAATGGTGGCTTAAGCACAAAGCCCCAGGACTCCGCAGCTCCTTTATATAAAATTCTCCAAGTAAAACCTATTCTTCTCATGGTGCAAGCACGTTTTGTCTCCATCACAAAAGAAGGCTCCCTGCTTGGGAGGGGCTAGAATTATTGCTGTTGTCTAGCACCAGGGCAGCAAATCAAGAAGGGAAGACCACAGGATACCACAAACCCCACAAAAAGTACAGGAAAGCCATAAATTTCCGAGAGGCTTCAACAAGAAGCAAACAAGCAAAGCCCCCTCCCTCCAGCAACTCCTTGCTTCCAAAAGGGTCAAGGAACGCACGCAGCACAGGACGAATCCCGCATACTCTACATACCACCGTGCGTGGGAGCCTTCTTCCCCAAAAGATAACTCTGCAACTCAAATGCCTTACTCTCCACAAGATGTGAAAACTGAGCACATTCATCCATCTCAGATCATCCACTCTTATCAGAAGTGCTGAGAAAAGGATCCCACTGCCCTCACAAACCTAAAAATGTGCTCCTGCCAACCAGGATGTTACCAGCCCAACGCAGGAATTACTCTGCCACTAATCCCCGAACGTATTCCCAGGTCTCCAAGGCGGCGGCGGGTCTCTTCTGCAAATGCAGGTCTCTGCAGGGTTTTAGCCGTCTCTTTGCCTGCTTTTGATCACCAGGCAGGATGTTCTGGATCATTCTGAGGCCCAGAAAGATGGGGAAGAACACAGGCTTTCCACACCGGAGAACAGCTGAGTAGCTGTTCAGCAGCAGATGCCTTGGGGACAAACCCAGATAACAATACAAAAAGGAGGTGGGGGAGAGAAGAATGGGGGTGGGCAAAACAAGAAGGTCCAAACTTTCTGAATTTTTTTCCAAAAGGCTCAAAACCCTGTTTGAAAATAATTCAGCCATGCCTGACAAAGGTGAGGAGGACTCCTGATCCTCCAGCCCGACCCGCTGTGCCAGCCCCGTTCCAGAAGCTCGCCCACGGGTTGTCCTGGAGCTAGGCCAGATCTTTACTAGCTAAGCCTCCAAGCACGGGAGGCTGCGCCGCACCCCATGCTGGGCTATACCAATGGCAAACCGTCCTTGTGGTTAAAAATCTTCTCCCTGCTTCTAGCGTGAATTCTCCTAGTTTCCATAAGGCCGTGGCTGACACTGGTGTAGGTCGTTCCTCCTGGTCCAGACTGAAGCATCCTTCAGTACCAGGTCCCTTCCCCCTGTACAGGTGCTCAAAGCGGGGCCGAGTCACCTCGGTCTTTTCTGCGATACATTTCGACTGAGTTCCAAGCCCGCGTGCAGAACTCGAGTCAGTCTAGGCCAATAAGTGATTACATTAGCACCACCCACTAAAGAAAGGTCACCTTCCTACTCCCTCCCAACATCTTCCTGATTAGCAGTCCTGGGGTTTTGTTAGGCCTTTTAACCACAGTACAAAAATATGTTTAAAATGCGATGAATATATTGAGCAGTAACATCAACTCATGCTGCACACTAAAAATGGCTACAGCTGAAACTGGAGGTCACATTGGCACAAGGCTGGAAACACCAACATGTGCAGCTAACATGCAAAACTTCAAACCACTGTGAGTGATCGGTTCAAGTTAACTGCAACTTAAACAGCTTCAAAAAAAAAAAAAATCCCCCGCTCTTCACTTTTGCTTGCATCATCCTCATACTCTCTGCTCTAATCAGCCTTTTAATCCATGTTTGCACCCACAATAAGCTAAAAGAAAAACCTCAAACTAATAACATCCTACAAAGAGCACATTTTTGCTGTCTCCACTATAAGGAAACACCACAGATGCCATTTATGAAGTATAAAGCAACCCAAGGATGGTAAAGGCAAAATATAAAATATGCATTTACGCATAAATATTTTACACGGGTGAGATAAGACCTTTATAGTCAAGCTGGGGGTGTTTTCAGGCACAATTTATTACATTTCAAGCAACTTGCAGAAGGTTTTCTATTTCATATAAATCCCTGAAGTACCATCTTTATGAATGCAAGCAAAACACGTCCCTTCATGCCCGTTTTATTTGCCTTAAATTCTCTTTTTGGACACTTTCAAGTCAAAATCAATGTTACACTTAATATGCTCTACAAAAAACAAATCTTCCTTTATAACTGTTAACCATAACTTTTATAAACTTTGGAAATAAAGTGATTGGTTTAAAAAAAGATTCTAGTGATTGATTTTTATAATTGAAAGACCATGCTCAAATGTCGCTCCTCCATTCCTAGAGGTCTGGACAAAGATTCCTTCCCTCTGTGAAACACAGGCAGAGACTGTATAGTGCAAGCTACCTCCATAATTTATACCAAAAGGGAACATCTGTGAATCCTAAAAATGTAGCTTTTCCCCAGAAAGGGCTGCCCATGCAGCACTAGCCATTATTTCTCCCTTTGTGGTACGCCCGGAGATTTGTAGGAAGCTTCTTTTTAGGATCACGGTTCCCGAGCCTGTGAATCAATGGCTTTACTGATCTAAGCCAGCCGCCAGGATTCGCTGCCACAATACAAAGCCCCCTCCCCTCACCCTTTCTGCTTTGGCTTCTCTGATTGAACCTAAACATTTTAGTCTCTTACCACCAAGCTTTCAGCGGGCTATTTGTCAGAACGTACAAGCACAAATGAAATCGCGCTGTCAGTAATGATGTAACGACGCCGACTGAAGTCTCCCCTGGACCGCAGTGAGGATCCTTTCAGTGGAGGTGGCGGCAGCAGGGGAGAGCTGCCTCGCATAGCAAAGTCACGCTTCGAACATTTACAAATGTGCCAGGGAAAGTGGATACTGGGTCACAAAGCAGGTCACCTGAAAACACAGCATTATGCAAAATATGAACTGCACGCATTCACCAGTCATCCCAATTATTTAACTTTCACACCAGAGTAACCTCACTGGGGTGAAAAAAATCATCTTGTTTAAATTATGCAGCCTGCCAAAAGTCATTCAGCGTTTTTAGATGCTATACAAAATGGATCAGATTCCTTGATTTAACTCGTGTTCGCAAATCTTCAGCCTGTAGCAATCCCTGGCCTGGTTTGGAGCTGGGACCAAACAGTCCAATATAATATGCTGAACATACTGGAGAGCAGCAGCACGCCTGTAATGGCAGGACACGTGGGATGCACAATGCTCACGTTCCTTGACAGGATGAGCCAGGATGAAATCACTAGGCCAGGATAATGTTGTGCCTGGTTCCTGGCTGCAGTGCAACTGCCAGCACAGAGAGAGACGAGGCTTTTTATAACTGCATCACAGAAACCTGGATGCTCTTACTCGGGTGAGCGCATCCAGGTCCTGAACACACCAGCAGCTATGCCACTACTAGCACCAGTGCAGCTACACGGCAGATGGAGAAAGCTCACAGTAACGCCAACGACATGACAGTAAAACACTTCCTGCTCCCCACAGCCATTCCACACAGCATACCCACCCGCGAGGCTGCACCCAACGATACCTGCAGGAGCATACCCGTGATGACAGGGCCATGTCACTTCCCTGCCTCGCACTGGCCTCCAGCCCTGCTAGCCGTGCCGAGCCGTGTGCTGGGGCCTGCCTATACTCCTCCCCACGCCACCTTCCCTTCAGGCAGAAGCAAGAAACTCTGTTTTAATAAAGCTACCGTGACACCTATCCCTGCCCGCTGCTGCCTCCGCCCCATTGCTCCAGTGGAGAACACCAGCAAGAAAACCCACGCGCTCGCTGCATTGGGATGGGAGCCTAAGTCTACGGGACTGAGGACCAGGACACAAGTCAGGTGTCCTCTTCGCTGGCTCCCGATGCAGCCTTAAGCAAGTTATCGCTCTCTGCTGTAACATGGGGATAGAGGTCCCTCCGTCACGTTTCAGTACGCCGGGCAACTGCTGACCCGCATGCTCCGAGTCTCACAGAGGCAATCAGAGCACGTGAACAAATAAACCATCAGCACTGCATTCCTCAGCAGCACTATTCCAGGCACAATTTCAGGAATTCACTTGCATCACAGGGAAAATACACGGCATCTCCTAACAATTTCACTAACAAATGTTTGCGTGGTGCCTTGAACAAGTAATGCATTATGGAAGATCTGTATTAATTTACCAGCATTACGGATATTTTAAGATACTAACAGACCAGGTTTCCCTCAGATACAAGAAAGTGTTATTTCAGCAAGTGCTGATACTGCATAGGGCTCTTCAATGCCAGTCAAAATTGACCCCCAAATGAGCATCCTAACCCAGCTTGCTAAATTCAGCGGAACACACTGAAACCCACAGCTGTTTATAGCAGTAGTGTTATGCATCTGACAGTTTTATTTGTGTAACAGTTTATGCTTTCATTATGTTCTGTCACTTGCTACGTGGAATTTGTGTTTAAGAGGATTCCACTGTATCATATCTAAGAGGTTTACAACAAAATCCAAATAGCTAAACTCTAAGATGCACTGCATCACTCGATTTAAGGGTTCACCATAACTCATAGCATGGCTTCAACATTAGCCATCTTTCTCCAAGAAGATTCACCGATAAACTATATAATTTGCACCAGGTCTTTGCCATGGATGAAACCAAAACGGCAGACAGAATGGGCTTCCACACTCTTTTCATTACTTTGCAAATGAGACATACGTGGCTTAAAGAGGAAATAAAATGGACACGTTCCACAAAAGTGCTAATAAAAAACCCTTGGGGCCAGAGTCCTTCTCGCATAGCTGCTCCCAGCAAAGTCAACAGTACATCCTGCTTAAGTTAAAGACGATTTGCCTTTGGAGAGCACTTGAGATCTGGCATTCTCCAGATATAGCAGCTCTTGCAACAGGCTCATCAGGGCGGGGAGACCAAGTTTAACCAGGTTCAAAAGAGCACTGCACAAATCCAGGCCAGAGAGGCCCATCAGTGAGTACGAGGCATTGTCTAGAGGTGCACCCTACAAATTACGACTTCCTAGGCCTCTGAATGCAGGAAGCTGTAAAGGAGAGGGGGTGGGGGGGACAGATCAAGCCCGGCATCTATCCACCACCCCAGCATGTGCTTTCTTCCACTGTGAGAGCAGGCATGCATGGACAGTGGGCCTGCGACCCCAGGACCCATAAGCTCCTCCCCTCCCCCCAACTCATTCTGTGGCAAAAACCACGAAAAAACAGGAATGAGAGTGCAGCAAGAGACAGGATACTGAGCTAGATGAACCTCTGGTCTGATCCAATATGGCACTGCTTGGGTCTTCTACAGTATCTAGCAAGTCATGCCCCAATTTCGCCTTAAAAATGTGAAAGAAATACCCAAGCTCTCAGCAAGTTCCTTCTGTGGCCACCAGCACCGTGCCAGGGGAGCTAGCCACAGGAGAAGCCGGCCAGGCAGATTCACTCGTGGAGGGGCGTGCCAGCACCACATACCAAAACACTAGTGAAAACAGCCATCAGAAATAAGCGGCATTCCCAACGCAATACTAATGGCGGCGGTGGCACATTTCTGCCTATTTTACGTCAGAGGTAAGAAAAGGCTGTATCAGCAAAGTATGAAGCTGGAAACAGGTAATGAAAGAAAGTAAAACTTACTTTTCTTTCAAACGCCCCAAATCATGGATTTTAAACCCAGGAGAGAACAGCTGGACCTCCTGCAAGATGCAGGTCAGTGAACCACCCTTCCCCGCAGGGACTGGTAGCAACCGGTACCTTGGGCACAAGCGACCCACTCGGAGACAGCTATCCAGGTTTGATTCAAAGACTGCAAGTGACTGAATTCACTAAACTGTTCCAGTGACAAATTTCCTTTGCTGTAAAAAATGTGTCTGCTTCCGGTTTGATTTTTCTAGCTTCAACTGCCAGCCATGAGATCTTGTTATTTCTTTGTCTGCTAAATTTAAGAGCAATCTATCATCACAGTTTTTCTCCACATGTAGGCACTTACAAACTTCAGGCGATTAAAAGTTGCCTCTTAACCTTCTCAGGAATAATCTATAAAGACTGAGCTTCTTTAGTCTTTTCACTTGAAGGCAGAGGCCTTGAATTGTTCTTGCAGCTCTTTTCTGAAACCTTCTTTTAAAAAAAGCAAAAGGCAAAAACACGTAATCTTTATAAAACAACGCATAGCAAACTGGACTGTATTCCAGTAGCGTGCTCTCACCAATACTGAATTTAAAAGACAAGGATCTCAGCATTTTTACACAATTACTCTGTTTATAATCCAAAATCAAGGTAGCGCTCTTCCCAGGGCAGTGGCTCAGACTCCCCAAGGAAGTTAAAGAATATCTTTTATTGGAGGTTTTTGGTAGGAGGATGATTGAGGAGCAGCATTCCCGCATTCATGCAGGGGGCTGGAAGCAGATGACCCTTGAGGTCTCGTCCAACCTACAAACTCTCTGATCGTCCGCCTGCAGCCATATTAGACTGAATGCACCAGTCCTGGGCCGGGCTAGTGCTTGGATGGGAGACCCTGATGCCACAGATCAGACCAGACAACTCTCAAGGCCCCTCCCGAGCCCAAGATTTTATTACAGCCACCAGACAGAAGTCAACATGTAGCTGGTTACCCACCACCACGTCCTTTTCAGTCTTGTTCTCCAAGACAAAGTTCCCCACCACGTGATCGACATGTTGGTGAATCCATTTGACAGGAGCTTTCTCTTGCCCATAAACATTATTCTTCCCATAGAGCTTTTCCCATCCGTATAACTACGCTCTGATAGCAGGGACTGTCCAAGTACTATTGCACCTTCTGTTTGCTTTTACAGCTACAAATCCCACAGCGTTTCTACTAAACAAATATAATTATGAACCGAGCAGTGAGATACCTGGATGGAATGAAACTGGCCATGGAAACGAGCAGATCTCTACTCTCAAACTGAAAGCAGGCAACTTTCCTAAAGTTACTTTAAATGACAAGCTGCTAATGGAGGCTGCTCCCCAGTAGACATGCATTTCAAAAATGCAGGACAAAGAAACAGAACATTAGCGAAGTAACTAGCACTGAAACACTGCACAAGCCAAGGGTGAGGCATTAATGACTGACCTTGCTGTCAAAGAACAGCCACTTGCTTATAGGCAAGGAAAATTTCCTACTTACGCAGACAAGGCCAATCCCCAGCTGGAGGAGATGAGTGCCAGGTTCCCACTATGTAATGAGAAGAGATGTTAGAACAAGCAACATGGTTTCTGACAGGAACAGAGGACAAGTCCTGCAGTCTGCCTCCCCCAAAGAATACTAGTCAGAGAAATCTGTTAGGAGGAGGAAGGAGAAGTACTAAATTAAGTCTCCCAACAGCTAGTCCTTTCTTGGTGCACACATCTGTGGCTGTCTGGTTGCCGAAGGATGCTCTTCAATGGCTCCCGCTGAGACCGAGGAGAACCAAGAATAATTCCTGCTAGGCTGCTGCAGACACCAATCAAGAGGCCTGCCCCAAGAGGGAAGCCCTCAAATCAGAGCAGGCTGCAGGGTCTCATTTTGCTCCTACAGATGCATCCATTTCCCTTCCCTGACAAGGTGGGAGGCCAACTAACCTGCAGGAAGACACCTAGCCCAAGGACAATTTCGTAACGAGACACAGACCTAATTATTCACGCTGCTCCCTCCGTGCAAGGCAGAATGGAAGCAGAGCTGGGGAAGCTAACAGGAGCCCCGAGGAAACCGAGACATCTCCTCCAAATCCTGCAGATTCGCTGATTGCTTTGCCTGCTCAAGTGCGACCATAAATGAAAACCCAACCATTTAAAGGCCGATTGCCTTGTGCACAGAGTTGGATGGAGCATGTGCAAGGTTTGGGAGAATACAAGTAAAAGCCTTCTGCTGTAGCTGGGTGAAGAGGGCAGTATTTA